AACTGACACATAAAGAGAACAACCCCTAATTTTTTGGAAAATGTGGGGTTAAAAACTAAAAAGAAAAATTGGGTTTACGTGTAGTATTATTTATTGAAAAATGTGTGGTTCAAAATGAGTTTTGAAAAAATGTATTTTTTATTTAATGGAGCCCAAATAAGGGTATAGTATGATTAAGGCATAATAGATGCTACACTCAGCATATTATGATATGGAGAAAATGAAATATAATTTGTCTTTAACTCTTAAGCTATACACTCCCCCATCAAGAAAAGTTCGTCACATTATTCATTTTTTGCACTTTTATCTGGAGATGAGAATTAGCTTCCTCTTAAATATGTACTATATGTTTTATTTAAATATAAATAAGACGTAGAATGTGAAAAAAATGGAAATGATATATACAGATAAAAGATCTTTATCGACATAGATTGTGAAAAAAAGAATCTTCCTTTAGCTCCATGGGTTTAGCCGACACAGGACAAGGATGGAAAGGAGTTCCAAAATGTTTCCTATTGGGATAAAAAACCTCTACTGTTGCCTTTTATTCTTCATAGTTTCGGGTTTAGGGGTTGGATATGAGGATTGGTGTCTTGAAGGATTATATCTTACTTTTTAGAAATGCTCAATATAGCTGATGTGAGGAATAGAAATGAATATGGCGTTTAGTTAGCATGCTGATTGGTCAATACTATTTAGGAAATATTTGCATATTTATATTAATGAAAAATTTAATATAAGAGAACTTCTCAATTATAAGTAAATTATTTACATATAAACTTAATTAAGAGAACTTTTCAATTATAGGTGAATTATTTTACTTGTGTATTTTTTTTTACTTATAAGCTAATATGTAATTATTTCATAAATAAGCGAATTTCTAAATTATAAGTGACTCTTTATACTTACGAGTGAAGTTTTGTCTTATAAGTAAATTTTTTAGTTATTAGTGTATTTTTCCCTTAAGGATCAATTTTTTTTTACATAAAAATAAGTTTTGGTCTTATAAATAATTTACTTATAAGTAACCTTTTTCTTTATAAAGTAATTTTTTCTTATAATTAATTTTTTAGTTATAAGTAATATCAATTACTTATAGGCAATTATATTCACTTATAAGTAAAAGTTTTAGCTGTAAAGTTATACTTATGTAATCATTTTATAAATTTTAAGTTAGATAAAACTTTTTTAGATAGTTACTTTTTTAGCATATGCATAAGTTCTTCACTTAAAATAATGTTTTACTTATAACTTCACTTTTAAGTATAATTACTTACAGGTGAAATTCTGAGCTCTTATTTATTTATTTATAAATAAATAAATAAAATTCAATTTAACTAATATTTTCTTAATTTCATAAATTGGTAAACAAATAATATGGTCTAAACACACTCCTACATAGTGTATTAATTTTGCACAGTTGAATAAATGATTATAAGTACCAAGTTTAATTTGAACTCAATCGATAACTCCATCAAATTCCTTCACTTGGGCGAACGGATTCGATAATGTGATAATCAAAAGATGATGATCATCGTATATTTTGTTAAAGTTATATTTATTCTACATCAGTAACTAACGATTACGCGTAATGATAATCATTTATTCATTGCCACATCATCAATATCGTGAAATTAATTGAAGTTACTTTAATTGAAATCGAGTCATAGCGAAGCTACATATTTCAAATCAATTAAAATGTAGCTATCCCATTGTAATTAAATTATTGTTCGGACAGCTAAAAGTTTCCTAATAAAACAACCCAGCGCAACTTAAATCCTAATTTGTCTTCTAATGCGAAGACTCTATGTTAAACTTGTTGACTTTTTATAGACTTTTACTAAACTTGTTGACTTTTCTAGAGCTTATTTGATTTTCACTAACTTTCAGTTTAGGAAAAAATAAAAAATAAAAAAAAATAAAAATCTTGCATCTAAAGTTATATTTTATACAACTTATTAAACATAATTATTTTATTGAATTATTTACTTAGGCGCTACAATGTAATAATATTTTGAACTGCTACTTACATAATCAAATGATCCGACCATGTTTGATTGCAACGAATTCCATGGAAAATATCACATTCGAGGAAAACGAATTTTACTTTTTGACCGTTTGATTATAACGTGGAAATGGAAATCGAATTCTAAAGTACAACCACGTTAAGCTGCATTTTCTTTGTTTTCATGAAAAACGAATTCCTATGGGTTTGATGGATTTTTATTTTTCAACTAACATGAAATTGAAATTCCTTTCCAACCAACATGGTAATCAAGAATGAAAAAAAACATACACATGATCAAAATAATATGCTTGATGAAAGTATCTATCCTAAATTCCTAATATTATTTACTATCCATATGTCCAAATATGTAGAAAGTTATTACATTAAACAAGCAACCAATATGTAAATTTTTATTACAAATTAATCTATTTTCATAAAATTCTAACTAAAAATTGATCTTTTTCCATAGAAAATTGAAGGAAGCAATGGAAAAACTAACTATTTAAAAACTTTTAAGAAATTTTAAAAAGTCTATGAAAGTGTAGATCGAATACATTATTTCCCTAACTAAAGCTTTTTAAATTTATAAAAGTGAAAGTCAACAATTAATTTTAATCACACATTCATATTATTCATAGTTTTTATCATTTTTTAAATCATATTTTCATCAATTTTTATTAATTTTTTTTAAATTTTTGATCGAAAATGTTGTCAAACAACTTCTTGATAGCAATAGTTTTCTTTCAACAAAAAAAAATGACATTAAATTTTTATTTTAAAAGAAACGAAAAAAAGGAAAGAAACCAAAAGTATCAAATTACTTGTTTGCAGTGATTGAAGAGCATTAATTGATTTCAGAAGAGAGAGAGAGAGATGAATAATGTCATTAATTCCTAACTGTCTCGAGACAAAAATTCGAAATTTGAACCATTTTAATTCTTATTCTCCATCTGAAGTCAATAATCAGAATTAATAAACAAAAGCAGTGTCCTATTGCTTGTGACAGTAATTTCTGCCACGAACTTATTAAAAATTATTAACATGCTAATCTCAAAATCTTTAAGCTGCCTGTGTCAGCAATCCTATGTTTTTTTTTTCACTACTAAGGTTACTCGATAGTATGTTTGGAACGTAATATTAGAAAAATAAATAAATTAAAGAATACCTTTGTTCGTCTAAAATTATTAACATCGTTTTAAGAGAATTAGTAGTGGATTTTTTTTAATTTGTGGATAATAAATGTGTAATAACTATGAATGTGTGGATTAGAAAAGAGTAGAATGTGGGTAGAATAAAAACTTACCACAACCTATGTAGAGAGAACGTAAGCATGGTTCTCTTAATGAACTTTTGTTGCAGAAAACTATAAATAAGATTTTCCTTCCAAAAAAAGTTTTTCCTTGGCTACTGTGAGCAGGAGATCAGATATATATAGAAAATAGTAGTATTTATACACGTGTGGTTGAAATTAATGTTTGATTTTAACTGAATAAAAAAATGAAATTATTAGTAACTTTTTTAGGAAAACGAGTAGAGGCAATAAGGAAAATTGCATCATTAGTTCCGAACTTATTGGTGCGGTAGCCGTGTCGTCTCCAACATTTTTTTTGATAGCATGGTCCCTTATAACCTGTCAATTTTGATGCATAAAGCTTTTTTTTTTTTTACAGTACTCAAGGAATAGATCTGTTGGAAGATATATACTCCGCTGAATTGTGACTTCTATGGTCTATTTGACGGTGAAAAAGTTGGTTTATTTCTTCTTTTGTTGAAGAGGCCATCATATTCCCACTTCCCTATTTTAGTTAAATTAATTAAGAAAAGAAAAAAAGGAAAAAAATGGAAAAGGAGAGGAAAAGATCAAGGACCAAAATATTCACTTTTAAAGTTTAGGTATCAATTTGCTACCAAGGTCACAAGGTAGAATCAATGTTGCCATTTTGGCTATAGAATATGCCAAAAAAAGGTTTCAAGGACCAAAATATTCGATTTTAAAGGTTAGGTATCAATTTGCTACGGAGGTCACAAGGTCGAATTTATGTTGCAATTTTGGCTATAGAGATATGCAAAAATAAGAAAAAAGGCTCATACTCTCTCTATATATCTAAAATATAGAAATTGAAACCCTCTCAGCACTTGGCATGAAATATTTTCTAATAAGAGTGTGTTTGGGACACATTCTGAAAAAATGTATTATTGAATAGTAGATTGATAGAGAATGTGTGGTTAAAAATGAAGGAAAAGTTATTGATGTGATGTAAAATATTATTTTATTGAAAAATGTGTGATTGAAAATGAGTAGAAGAATGAGAATGAAAAAAATAATGTGTACCAAACAGAGCCTAAAATTATAATTGCCTCATTATCACTCTGCATACATACTACAAAATTGAGAATTTTATTTTCTCTTTAAAATAAATCTCATATTAGAGTCAAACTCCATTCAGACAGAATTGATGCACAAGACTATTCATGAGAAAATTATAAGTACTTTCATTGAATTCTCCCTTTAAACTTTTATCAACTTATGTATCGAATTGTCCTACTAACTATGAGCGAAACCTCGACTTACTTTGAGGTAGGCTAAAATGTGCTCAAACACAACCTCCTTATTGAATTCTCTCTAAAATTTGACTAACTTACGTATCGAATGTCATACTAATTATGAGTGTGACGAACAATACGCTCATCAAATTATTGCTCTACAATAAGGTCATTCTATTAAGAATTTAGGATAGATACTTTCATCAAACATATTGTTTTGAGCATGTGTTTTTTTGCAATTAATGTAAATTAAACTGGAAAATGAAATATAATAAGATTAAAGCAACAAATTCTGGAAAATTAGCACACAAGTGTAATATTAATGTTTGTAGCCCTGAAATCAAGAAAACTAAATAACAACAACAATAATGCAAGTTTTCCACTTTTTCGTATGATTGATTCTTGGGTTTTAATGCAGAGAGGCTGGGAATTGCACCAAAAAGTTTAGCTAAGAGGGTTCGACGGGCGTACGCCGGCCATCGGCTGTCCCGGAAGCCTTGGATTGCTGAAACTGGCTCAACTGACCAATACTTGCTGAAACATTCATGGCAAGAAGGCTACTGGCATCATATGCATTTCCTCCATCCAATGACCTAATAACTTGTTGCTGATTACTAGGGAAGAACTGGTGGTGAAAAGGGTGGTCCCGGGATCCAACACTGCCACCAATCAAGTTGATTCCCAAGTTCTGCTGGTGGTGGTGAGTGGCCGCAGCAGCAGCCGCTATGATGCCGTGGCCGGTTATACCTAGGTTCTGATACTTGGAGAGCTCGGATTTGGCACAGCTGAGGTCCATCTGGAGCTGGCGGAGCTGGTGTTGGAGGAGGGAAATGACTCCAACGCAACCGTATACCGGATCACGGAGGCGCATATCGGCTTCATAAGCTAGAGAATTCACTGCATCCTCCCGCTGGTGGGGTTGCAACTCATTGAGGAGTTTCGTGACGTTGCTGGCGCCGAAAACTTTGTGCACGTTCGCGAATTTCTGCGGCTGATCTGGTGGGAAATATGGGGCGAATACGCACTCTGGCAGGCACTTCCGGCGGAGGAACTTGCATGCTGCACATGGCGAGTTGGATGAGGACGCCATTACTAGTGTACTTCTTAGCTTCTAAGTCTCTTTACTGGTCTTGGAATTTGTTTAACCCTGAAATGCTAAGAGAAAGTGGACTAAACAAATGAAAAATAATATTAAGAAATACATAAATGAACCAAAATTCAAGAAACTTGTGCCCTTCAAGGAATTGGGATCTACATATCTGAATTCATGAAATTATGTCGAAATCAAAAGGAAAACTCAGTAACAAATTGGAAGGAAAATATGGCATATATTCCATGCTTGTAAGTCCTTTTCTTCTTAATTGTATAGATTTTTCAAGAAACAAATATGGTTTAACAGTGGATGGAAAGAGACGGGGGGAAAAGAAAATGAGATTTGAGAGCAAATCATTTAACAGAAGTTATTAGTCCAACAAAATCATTGACAGCTTTAAAGAAGTAAAATATAAAGAACCTACCATGTACAATGAAATCAAGTTGATTTAACAGGCCATCAAGTGACAGAAATTAGACAACTAAATCTGGAAAATGAAATGTTTAAATCACATACCCAGATACCCTCTACATATATGCTTCTCGCAGGATCTGTCAATCAATTAAAAGATTCAAGACGGCTAATCATTATCAAATTTGAACTGTCAAACTAAAAAACACAAAAATGTAACAACTTTAAAAAGGAAACAGTCTTCGTCTATGGACTAGTAAGAAACCTAAAAAAATGGGGTTTCTTTGGAGAGAGAGGAGAGCGTGAGATTTAGGGTTCCTGAAAAATGAAAATGTAAGATTTTGTAGAAATTTCAAGGGAAGGGATCTCGTCAAAGTCAAGGATTGTTTCGTTTCATATTATACAATCGTTAATCTTTCGAGCAGATCTTGCTTAAAATTCGTCATTCAAACACGTGAGTGTGTGAGAAAAAGATCTTGAAAATGGAGAGAGATTACTTCATTTACATGTAAAACTAAGACTTTTGACATATATACACAAAAAAATAGAAAATAATTTAAACTATGTGGCGAACGTACGTACGTGTGAGTGAAAATACTAAAGAAATCAGAAAAATATACCAAAGTTTGTATAAAGAACTAGCTGTAATCCTCTTCTTCTTGAAAATTTACGTGCCTCGATATCTGTGGTCAAATATATATTTTTCCTTTTGACAAAGAGATGAAACCAAGTTTGGATCTCGAAAAATAAAGACTTTTTTCCCACAGTTTCCAGAGATTTTTTGTAGCCCTTTTTGCTCCCTTAAGAGACAGAGAGAATTATCAGTTTTTTGCCGAAGTTTGCATAGTATCTTCCTTTTGTCTCCTCTATTTTATGGACAAATCACACAAAGGGACCTTGTTGTAGTGGCAATCTTTTAGCTTCCTTAGATAAAGAAGGTGCAAAGAAGGCGCCGCGAAAGAACAGGAAGACTCTTATCTCATAAAGAGATACATACATATGTATATATATATATATATAAAGGGAGAGAGAGAGAGAGAGAGGAAGTCCCCCAAGTGCAGAGGCTATGGAAACGCGGAGAAAGCAAAGAGAAACTGAGTGTATGTATATGAGGATAGTCAATAGTGTAATGTGTAATATGTGTACTCTGAATGAATTATTTAAGAGCAGTATGTAGTTGGGTATAATCACTACGTCTCTTACAAATTCAGAGTGCAGAGATTGAGAGCGAGTTGTCTAGTGTCGTGACATGACACTTCCTTTTACCTTTTTCTCTATCAATAATATGAATACTTCTATTTTAGAGTTTATGTCAATTTTATCCTAAACAGAGATTGAATCTGCCACTTCTTTTAGGCGGAGATAAAATTAAAATAAATGAAAGTACCTAGTTTAATTGCTTCAACTTTTTAATCAAGTTAGTTAATATTTAGACATTAGTAATTCAGGAAATTGGAAACTATTGATCAAAATTTGATAGGTTTCTTAGTGAAAAGAGGTTTCCCTAAGGAGAATGTTTTTACTTTTCCTAGCGATTCAGAAAATAAGCATTTCTCTTCTGTATAGCATTTAGAAAATGTTGAGAGTGATAGAAAATAGTTGGCCTGCTCAATTTTATTGGATAAAGTATTTTACTTTTGTCGTAAGTTACTTACGCAAGAAGGAAAAAACATTCAAGTAGCAAAAGTTATTTTTTGAACTACAATTGTTTGGGCTCCATTTTAGGGGGGGAAAAAAAAATACAATTTTTTCTTTTTTATTTTCAACCACATATTATGTAATAAAATAATATTACAAGTAAACCCAAAAGTTTTCCTTATTTTTAATTGTACATTCTCAAAAAAGTTACTATTCCACAATATATTTTCCCTTACAATCTATTTTTTATGGAGCCCAAATGGAGCCTCTATTTGGGCTTCTTAAAAACATATTTTGTTGACCTAAATTTGTGCACTAGAATACATCGTTAGGAGGCAAAGATCGTCGATCGTGAAAATGGTGTAGGAATCGTTTGTACTCCGACAATCAAGTCAACTGCGATAATCCGAGCCAACACATCACCTCGACAACGAATTCACTCCTACCCTATACTGAAGGACACACATTACATAACTATCCATACATGGAATTGGGGAACTAGTGCATTGTGTGTGTTGTGTTCAAATACAAAGAGAGGCAAGATACTCCGCGCCAATGCATTACCTCAACTACGAAGTCACTTCCACCCTACACTGAAGTCCACGTATCATATAAATATTCATACATGGATTCAGGGGACTAGTGTGTTTTGTTTAAATAAAAAGAAAGGCAAGAATGCATCATATAAATATTCATACATGAAATTGGGGGCTACTGTTACATCTCTTCCAGAGAGGCAAGATACTCCGCGCCAATGCATTACCTCAACTACGAATTCACTTCCACCCTACACTGAAGTCCACGTATCATATAAATATTCATACATGGATTTAGGGGACTAGTGTGTTGTGTTCAAATAAAAAGAAAGGCAAGAATGCATCATATAAATATTCATACATGAAATTGGGGGCTACTGTTACATCTCTTCCAGAGATGCTCCAAGTCATCGCCCACGTGGATCAGTTAAGGAAATCACCAAGACCCATACTCCATGTCACCTCCTACCTGGCCAAAATGAGGCCATACAAGGTAGACAAGGTGATGCATCACTTCAACTGAGGTATTATGATGAGGCTGATCCTCCATGGTTGAGACGAAGTGCTACACTCGTTGTAGGAAGAAGTACAGACAGCTAGCCTCCTTACTGACAAAAGGGACTGCCCATATATCACTTCTTAAAAAGAGATCTTCCGTACAAGATCCACCTGCGATTGATTGATGTGACGTCTTAGCAACATACACACCTAAGAGGTCAAATTGTTAGTCTATATACTAAAGGTCAGACTAGGCTTTAAAGTGCTATGCGTCAGAAGTATTAAATGCCTGTCAGCCTATGATTTATGGAGTGATACCTAGGAAACGACCACGATCGTCAAGATGAGGCCACATGTCATTTCATCCAACTGTAATCATTCCTCCTTTACTACTATAAAAGCTCACATATTGATTCATTTGAAGGCAATGCAACTTTAGATTCTCAAAGCTAAGTTTGCTCTCAACTTATATTCATTTCATACCCTCTTGGATTTGACCCTCTTAAACTTAGAAGCTCACATCCCACATCCGTTCCACTCATACATTGATTGACTTGATCGTCGAAGTGTACGCGGCTGCCTCCTCTAGGGATCCGTTGGCCACATCATTCCTATAAAAAATGAGGTCAACATATTTTGTAGAAAATGTATTTTGGAATATTGAGTTTTCGAGAATGTGTGGTTAAAAAATTAAGAAATATTTTTTGGGTTACATGTAATATTATTTTATTGAAAAATATATTGTTGAAAATTAGAAAGAGAAAATGCATTTGTTCTAAAATGGAGCCCAAATAGGGTTGTATTCAATGTTCTAAAATACACGCATATTCTTGGAATATTTTCGAAAAACCTCGCATATGAGGTATGTGCATGATAATGTGGTCAATCTATTTCATTGACCGCATACGTACATTTAAACATCAAAATGCGTATGCAATTGTATTAAATCATGTCAAAATTAGCTTAGCAAAGCTCAACCTATTTTTATTACTTAAAAAAGGCAAATTGAGCCCAACAAAGAACAAACTAGCCCAAATCAACCAATTTCAAGAATTATATACAACAATTTGTATGGGTTTGACGTTTGAAAAATCAAAAATAAAAATATTTTTTTGTAGATTTGTAAATTATCTACGTCGAGTCCGAGCCTTCTTCTTCTACGATTTTTCTCTAATTTTACTAGTAAGTGATTATAGTAAGATGTTAATATATATAAGAGGTAATAAAAATTATTGAATTGAAATAAGGGAGTCCGATGAAAATGATTTTGCATCAGATAACATGAAAATGACTTAGATGAAGAAAGAGATTGAGTTGAAATCTGTTATAGAGTTAAACAATATTTAGGGATTTTTAAGCTGATGTTTGTGTCTAATCTAATTGTAGAAAATGATTACCAAATAATTGTAGTATTTATGATTTTGAATAATATTGCTTTGTTGAAAAATTGAAGAATGTGTATATATTCCCCCCATTTGGGCCATATTATTTGAAATTTTAATGGACAAAATACTGTTTTTTTTTTTGAAAAATGTGTGGTTAAAAAAAAAAGTTTTGGGATTACGTATAAAATTATTTTATTAGAGAATGTGTGATTGATAAGAAGAGAAAGAAAAATGAATTATAATTTTAATGGTACCAAACAGGGGTTATATATGTTAAAAATTTGAAAAATATGTATAAAGTTCAAAGAAAACATTATTTATTTATTTATTAGTTTACTATATAAAAAATAATATTAAAAAATAAGAAATGCATAACTAGGCATATGTTTCGCATAGACATGCATTTACTTGTAATGCTTGATGCTCGACGATAACACACTATCACACTTTACGCATTTTAGAACATTTGCTATATCATAGCACAAAAAAATCATTAGTTAAAATCCTTACAATCACATGTACGACATAA